GGGGGGGGGGGGGTCAAGACAGCGATTTTTATCGCGCGGGTGCGTAGTAATGGCGTGGCCGGCGGAAATGAGCCTCCCTTTGAAATGTGCATCCCCGCCCCGGGAAGTAAGCCCGCGGCGGGGTCTACCAAGCGGTGGCCGTTGGCGCGACCGGTAGATGGCTACTACCAATAGCCCCCCGGTCAAGCAATAGCGGGCGGTCCAACAGATGGCCGGATCACGACGCGCCGTTGGTACCATCCGTGGGCAATCGCGCGGCGTGGAAACTGCCCGCCTGCTCCATCGTTCGCGTCGGGCCCCCCCTTCCCCCCCACCTCCCCCCCTCCGCTGCCCACAGCCTCTAGATCCCGCAACCGGCATGATGACTCTCCGCTCCAAACGAAGACGAGGAGTGGGAGGGCCTTGATGCAGGGGGCTCCCCCCGACAAGGCCCGGCTCACCTGCTAAGAGGCACTGGATACTGGCCATATCCTCCCACAACCTCGACACTCCTCTCCTCGCGTGCCCTTCATCTGCATCCTCTCCTCCTTTGTGCCGGATTGTCCCCTTTCCCTCTCTCTCTCTTTGCAGCCCCATGATGCAGGCTCGCGCGGTGGATACCCCGATGAGCGTCCGGGGCCAAGCTGCCCCGTCGGCGAAGCGCTCACCGTCGGCTGACCTCCACGTGCTGGAGCCGACTTCCAAGTGTGGCCGTCTGGCTGCCGACCCGGCAGTCGGCATGCCCGACGCCCTGCCCATGCCACTGTGTCTGACATTTGCCCGGGTGTCGACCGTGCCTCCCGGCACATCGATGGATCAGCTTCGCGGGCACCTGGACCCGGAGGCCTCCGGCTTCTTGGCTAGCCGGGCGACGACTCCCCTGCCCGAGGGTCCGCCATTGGCCTATCGTGCGGCCCTGCTCCAACACCTGACCGATTATCTGTGCGTCACGAGCTGCCACCACGATGAATGATCCCCTCCCCCGCCCCCCCCCCCCCTCTGGGGCATTACCACCCTTCTCCTTCTGACATCGCCTTCTCTTCGAATTCAACAACGAAGCTTCACCAGCAATGATCTCGCCTCGCGGACTTCACCCGGAGCCGCCTTCTGGAAGGTTGAGAGCGACACCTGGCTGCTCCTGAATCTGGTTGCCCGTGCGACTCCGCAGGAGCTCGGCTCTGCATCTGCCCTCACCAAGGTACGCACGTGTGCTGGCCGACATGCCGTCTCTGCTTGGCCTCCCGGCCGGCCGCCCTCGCGGCCAAACACACCGGCAGCTGACATCCCCCATCCGGCTTTTCACTTGCCAGCTGCTGCGGCTGTGGGTCGAGGAGTCGACCCCTCGTCGCCCGAGCCCCGTCTCTCCCCGGCTGCCTGCGACTCGGGGCTCTACCCCGGCTCGACCGAGCTCCCAGCATCCGGTGGAGACCTCCAAGCAGACCCCCTCGCAGGACGCCGCGGCTGTTGATCATGTCTTGCACCTCCTTCGCCGAGGCCAATTGAAGGAGGCCCTGCAGCCCAGCGGCCCTGGCGGTGTTTGGCTGTCACCCTTCCTTCGATCCCTGGCCCAGGGTGCCCTTTCGGCTGATGGTGCGTGTCAGCCTCGGTGCTTGTTATCTTCATTCTCCCCTTTGAAGCACACGCGCGCATGCACACACACACACACACACACATATATATATATATATATAAACACTCACTCACACACACACACACACACACACACACACACACACACACACCCTTTCTTGCTCTCCTCGACACTTGTCACTCCTCCACCCATTTCCCCCCCTCCTCTTCCTGCCTGGTGGTGCCCAGACCCCCTTTTTGCCAACCGCACCCTCTGGAAGCGCACCTGCCTCGGGGCGGCCCTCGGGGCGGATATTCCCCTTGGCGAGCGGGCTCTGCTGGGCGCGCTGGCCGGAAAGCCCCTGCTCTTTGCACATGCATTCCACCCCGGGCTACCAGGTCCACCAGGTGTCGCGGCCCCCGGCCCCGGGGGCTCGTCCCCTCCCGGAAGCCCGCTGGTTGGGGCCCTCGCTGATCCGACTGATACAGCAGTCTTCCGGGCAGCGGCCGCCGCGGCATCTGAAGCCCTAGACCGACGCTGGGAGGACCTTTTTTGGATGCACTGTCTGACGCAGGATGAGCGCCTGGCCGATGAGGCGCATCAGCATCGTGGTCGGTTCTCAGCCGCCCTCGGCCTGAATCCCCTCTGCGGCCTGGGCCACTTGCTGGCGGTCGCCGAACAGGAGCCCGGCATCCAAGACGAGGCCGGCTCTCTGGCCTCCCAGGCCCCAGATGCCCTGGTGATGGATTTGTTCGCAGACGCCGGGATTGTCGATCCGCTGGATCCGGCCTCCTCGGCCGGGTGCTCGTTGCCCCGGCTGTGGCGCCTGCTGCAGCGAGACATTGCCCTCCAGCGCCCTTGGCAGGCCCTTGACCGGTGCTTCCACTTCCTCCAGGCTCAAGTGCCCGGGGGGTTGCTTCAATTGATCGGCAAGGACTCGAATGCCCTCCGCCCCTTGGTGCCATTTGTCCAGGTGCTGCGCTTTGCCACGCACCTGGGTCTGGCCCTGGCCGAGGACTCGGTCGTCGGTGTGCCGACGCCTGCCCGGCAGCATACTGTCGATACTCTGGCCTGCCTATATGGCATCCTGTTGGCATGCACCCAGATGCCCGGTGCTCTGGCTTTCTCTTTGGCCAGTGACCTCCCGGCTGACGACCTCCCGAACCAATGGCTGGCCGCTCCGGTGTATCTGTCCTCATTGGCCCTGGCCGAGTCCACTTTCGGGCATCTTTTGGCCGTCCACTTTGCCGGCTGCCCGGACTTGAGTCACATTCCGGCTGGTCGGGCGCGTGTGCGGGCTCTCATGGCCTCCCTCCCTGAGCGCCACCCGACCGTGTTGACGGATGCCCCGCTCGATGACCTGGCCTCGGCCGAAGCGGCGCTACTCTGGTCGCTGATCCGGCTGCCGACGGGCTTGACTCCGACGGCACTGGACCAGCTGGCCATTGCCCTCCCGCCGGCCGAGTCGCCGGGCTCGGAGGTGGTTGGTGCGGCCTTGCGCGGTCGGCTCGATGCCGCGGCGATGCTGGGCCTGCCCGCCCCCCCCGATGACCCGATGGACATTGACACCGGGCTGGCTGATGGGTCCCTTGCGGACGAGCTGGACCGGATCCCGGAGGATGCGCATCTGGTACACTGGCGCCAAGTGCGCCGTGCGCTGCTGCTCGGATCGCCGGCTGACCAGGATTGGCTGCGCGCGGTCAATACCCTCACTTGGCTGGTGCACCTGCTCCCGGTGCCTGGGATCCTCGCCCGTCGGGTGGAATCCGGCCGCCAATTGGCTGCCGGGGTGGTTGACGAACATTTGGCCTCGCTGGCCGGCTCCGATGCCGATGCCGGTGCTGGTGCTGGCGGCGCCGCTCGCCCGTACCTGAGCATGCTGTCGCATGCGGGGCTGCTGCTGCGTCGCGCCCTGGCCGCCGGGCGCCTGGATGCCGTGCGCGCGGTGTTGGCTGGCCCTGGCGCCCGCGGTCTTCTTGCTGACATGGCCGGATCGGCGGCGGACCTGGGCACCGGGGGACCGGCGGCCGGGGCCCCGGGCGCCGCATCTGTTCGCCTCGCTGGGGCTCTGTGCACGGCCTTCGAGGCTGCGGCTCAGGCCCTCGCCTTGGCCAGCCCCTCGATCATGGATTCGGCCTCGGCGGCTGGCGATCATGCCGGGGCGCTTGCCACTGCGCGTCGGCTCCTGGTGGATCTGTCCCAGTCACTGGGGCAGGCTCGCCTGGAGGACCTGGCCAACGAGGCGGACGTCCTGCCCAGCGATGGTCCTGCCCCCATGGGCGCTGCCGATGCCGTGGGCGTCCCTCTGCCGGTGGTCTGCTCGCTGTTGGCCGCAGCGACTCCGGCCGCCCCAGCCGACTCAAATCAGGAGCGTGCCGAGCTGGCTCTCCTCCGATCGGCCTACCTGCCGGTGGTGGCTTTGTGGGTGGCCCGATTGGATGCTCGGGCACTGGCCTCGGCCGGGAGCCTTGCTGCCCCGGCAACTGGCGATGACACCGCCACTGCCTGGGTCCTTCGTCCGGAGGGCACCAAGTCCATCATTTTCGGGCTCGGCCCAGATTTGACGTGCGTCCACAGCCGGATGTGTCGTCCAGCTCGCCTGGCTGATCTCCTCCATGTGCCTGCCTTTTGCTCGCCCTCCCCCTCCCCCCCCCCCCCTTTCTCACACTCATCCTCCCAATGCAGGTCCAGTCAGGCCACCGAGGCGACGACCCCGGAGGCCAAGCGGGCCGAGAGCTGGTTGCAGATCGCCGGGTCCGATCCAACTCTGGCGCCGCATCCGCTTTTCCCCTCTGGCCTCATGGCAAGCCCTCCCATGTCGCAGAAGACCGCCTGCGAGCTGATTGCCCTGGCCCGAAGCTCCCTCCTTCGCAGCATGGATACCAGCTCTCGGTAGAGGCCCCATTCTCCCGCGCTCCCTGTGAATGTATTCCCAGCTTTTGTTCCTCCGGGCCCTTGGCTTTCTCTCTTTCTCCCCCCCCCCCCCTGCCCTCTCTCTCTCTCTCTCTCTCTCTCGCGCCCTCTCTGCCCACCACCTCAACCCTCATCCCATCTTCCACCCCTACATCCTTTCCCAATAGACTACACAGGAGAACCATGCATTGGCTCCCCTTCTCCTCCTCTCGCTCGTGCACATACGACGCGCCCCCATTGTCGAGCATCAACGCTCTTCCCAATACAAGGAGGTGATCTTCCTCCGATTGCTGGAAATGTATCTCAAAATGTTTATTGTGTGCCAAGGCACGGAGGGGTCACATGAGATGACGCGCTAGTATGGGATGTCGTCGAAGAGGGAGGAGGGAGGGGAGGGGGGAGGGGGGAGGGGGGGGGGGTGGGGGGGGATCCGGGAGGCAAAGGCGCTGGGGGGGCAGAAGGGGGGGGAGAGGCGCACCACCGAAAAGGATGGGGTCTTTCTTTATCTTTCTCCCCTCCCCCTCGTGTACATGCCTAAATCCTTCTAGATACCAGCACCGACGCCGAGGATGTCTTCATCGTCATCCTCCGGCAGATGGAACTCCTCGCCCAGGGCCAGGTGACCATCCTTGGACCCGGCAAAACCGACATCCATCTCAAGCGGCTGGCTACCCAGCAGCAGGGAGTACTTGTGCTCGGCACGACGCTTCTGGTACCACACCAGACCCAGCAGCAGGGCCAGGAGCATCAGACCAAGGAAGCCCACCAGGAAGGCCCACCAGGGAACCACATCACGAATGGTGGCCGGGATAGGCTCGCAGGTATCCCCCTCGAAGCCCTCGGCACAGGAGTTACACTGGTCCCCGGTCCAACCGACCGAGCAGGAGCAAATCCCGGTGCCCGTGCGACCACTGGAGCAGGACCCATGGCCACTGCACACATTGTCCACACCACCCGGGCAGAACTGCGAACACTCCGGGCCGAAGACACCGGCATCACAGCTCTCGCACGTCTCGCCGCTCCAGTTGGCGGCACAGGCACACGTGCCGGTCTGCTCGTCGCACACACCATGGCCACCGCACATGCGGCCCTCCCCGTCGACCGGGCAAAGGAAGCACGGCTCCAGAATCGGCGGAATGGACACCGCCCCGGCGCACGGGCGCACCCGCTTGGCGGAAATGTTGCGAATCCCATCGACACACTCGCCGCGCACCAGCTCGAAATCCTCATCCACACACACCGGGCAGGCGTGGGTCGACCGCCAGACGAAGCTGTACCGGCAGCTACGGGGCTCCAGCTCGGCCGTATCGCCGCCAGCAATCGGCACCGGCATGCCGATACCGGCATCCGGATCGCAGACCATGGTCACATCAGTGCGCCGGGGGATGGCGCGACCGCCATGCGACGCCGCGCACCCGAGCGTGCCCTCCGTGAAGATCAGCGTCAGCCCCAGGGGATTGGCGGGCCACGGCTCATTGGGCCGAGTACGCCGGGCCAGATCCACCATGGCCGGGTCCAATGGCTGGAAGCCAATCACCCGGCCCAGGTCCACGGAGTACTTGCCGTCGAAGACATGCTGGCAAGCGAAAGTGGGAATCGGAATGCCCGACGCATCATAGCAGACCACACTGGAGTGCTTGGTGCCACAGACATTCAGGAAGTACTGGTGCCCGATCGAGTCGGTTCCGGCGAAGTACATCAGCTCCGGATTGTACAGGGGATTGAGATCCCAAGTCCGGGGGGTGCCGGCCTCCGACGAGGGGGCATCGCCCTCCGGCTTGCCAGGAAGCGGCTCAAACTGTGCCATGGCATGATATAGGCAGTCCGTCAGGCAGCCGGTGCCATCCGGCTTGGAAGTGGTGCCCGAGCCACAGGCAATCGGAGTCGAAGCCCCAGGGACATCGGTGAAGAAGCCCTCCGGCACCGGCTTGCAGCCGGACCCGATGGTCGGGGCGTAGGTGCCAACCGGGCAGGGGGAACACTGCTGAGACCCGGGCTCCGAGCCAAAGCCCAGCATGCACGGCTCACAGACCGGAGCCGAGCCGGCATCCACACCCTTGAAGGCCATCCGGTAAATGCGGGCCACATTGTTGCGCACATGTGCCACCGCACCCAGGTGGAAGACAACGGAGAAGGTATACGTCCCGGGGGTCATGATGGTGAAGGTGCGCGTGACGCGCGAGCCGTTGGTCCTGTTCAGGGCATAGGTCTCAGGGTCGGCAATGTCATCATCCAGGTTGTCCATGTTCAGGTACATGATGCAAACCCGGTTGCCGACCGCACTGAAGCCCCGGAGATCAGGAGATGGCGCGATGGGGGAGAAGGAAAAGGCCCAGGAGGGCAGCAGAGGGAGAGGCGCGGGTGAGAATGTGCTCGCATGGGAAGAAGGCCGAACCGAGAGAGAAAAGGTCCACGCATAGCACGCGGGAAAAGGAAGGAGGGCGAGGGGCAGTACCTGCAGAAGAGATCATACTCAATCTCAAAAGTGCCAGGCTGGAGGAAGACACGGGTGAACTGCAGCACCGAATCCATGGCGTCGCCCTGGCCGTAGCCGGAAACAATTCGGTTGCCACGCAGGATCCAGCCAGACTGATCACACCCACCATCGCAGTAGGTGGAGAACCCGGCCGGAAGGGCAGACCACTCGGTCACAGACTCCACGCGGACGGCGGCCGTGCCAGCCGGGCAGATCTCACACGCAGGAGCCCCAGGAGCCGGGTCGGCAACGAGAGCCGATCCGACAGGGCACGACTCGCAGGTGGCCGTGGCCGTGTTCAAGAACTGCCCCTGCTCACACGTGCACTCATCCTCAGTGGGCTCCGGGACCTGCGCGCTGCCGGGCAGCGTGATATCACACACAGGGATGTGGTTCTGCACAATTTCCGCAAGGGAGAAGGTCACCGGGCGGGTGAGGGCTAAAGAACAAAGAAAAAGGAGAAAGGAAGACAGTGCAGGAGCAGGAGGAGGCAAGTGGAACGGAGTGGAAAGGGTGAGTAGCCAGGCAGCATGACGGACGGCTGCGATGATGGGACAGGGGGAGCGGCAGAGAAAGAGGGAAGGAAACGGCCGGGGGATGGACAACGTACTAGAAGCGGAGCAGGCACCAAAGTTGGGATAGAAGTCGGTGGACTTGCAGGCAACATGGCTGTTGCACTCGGCCGCGCCACGGAAGGAGTATGTATGCTCAGGGCAGGCCTGGCACTGGGTGGCACCGCCGGGGGCCGGCGAAAAGGCGTTATAGTCGCAATTGTTGCAGGCGGTGCTACCATGCTCGGCGGTTGCCGAGCCTGGCGGGCAAGACGAGCAGTGATCCGACGCGAAGGAAGCACCGACGGCCACAATCGAATCAATCAGTGCCATGTCCTGGCCAAAGGTAACCGAGCTGTCCTTGACGTAAGACCACCGGAAAGCATGGTGTCCCGAGGTAACCGGGAACTCCACAGTGGTCCAAGGGGCGTAGGAGGTCAACGGGAGGACCGCCTTGTTGTCGATGTAGAAGATGAGCCTGTGACATGGGCGAGGGGTTAGAGGAGAAAGGGGGGAAAAAAGCCCGGCCAAAGGCCGAGAGGTGGGCCATGAAAAGGTAGCAATGAGACGGGATCAAGGCCGCACCCATCATAGCCACGCTCGGCATCCACCTTGTAGGTGAAGCGGATAAGGTTGCCGGTCTCACGAACAAACTACACACGACCGGCGGCGACAGGAGGAAGGGTGCAGAAGGGGGCGGGGGAGGGTGGTGAGACTGGGAGTACGGGGATGGCAGTACACCAAAGGGAGGGCGAGGGAGAGGGAGAGGGAGAGGGAGGGAGAGATGGCAAGGGGGAGAGAAGCAAAAGAGAGGTCGAGGAACAGAACACAGTGGTAGGGCCACTTACCACGACGTTCAGGTGGAGGTTGGCAGAGAAATTATGGGCAGCGCGGTTGTCACCGGAGGCCAGACTGGTGCCATTCGAGTTGGATGCCCAGCTGTTGCACGAGGCCTCGACAGATGCGTCCATGGACTTCGGGGAGGCCATGGCTTGGAAGTTCCACGCGCTGGTGGACCCGGTGGTGGAGGAGCACTCCGAGACAAACTGCGGGGGCAGAGGCTGCCAGCCGCCCTCGCCGGTGCTCGGGTCAATGCCACCGCCGAACATCTCCGACCCGCCGAGACTGTAGAAGCCAGGCTGGCATTGAGAGCACTCGAGCGACGCAAATGGCAGGAAGGTGCCAGGCTCACAGACCAGATCGCACGGAAGGTTGTCCTTGGTTTGGGGGAGCTTGACATCTGGGAGAGGCAGGGG